GGGGAGGAGCCAATGGGAAAGGGGAGGAGCCTATAGAGAACGACAGGAGGCAGTGGAAAGGGGAGGAGGCAGTGGGGAAGGGGAGGAGCCAATGAGGAAGGGGAGGAGCCTACTGCAGGGTGGGGGCGTGGTCTGAAGGGGGCGTGGCCAGGGGGGTCCCCGCTCACCTTCTTGCCCTCGGTTCCCCCCTCCTCATCCTGGCTCTTGTCCTGCTCCTGGGGCTGCTGCTGCTGCTCCGGCCCCACAGCACCGGGCTCCTGCCCCCCGGCTTCACCATCACCCTGGGGGCAATGCGGTCATTGGGGGGAAATGGGAGTAATGGGGGGCAATGCAGTCATTGGGGGGCAATGGGAGTAATGGGGGGCAATGGGGGCAATGGGGTCATTGGGGGAAATGGGGGCATTGGGGGCCATAGGGTCATGGGGGGCAATGGGGTCATGGGGGGTAATGGGGTCATTGGGATAATGGGGTCATGGGGGCCAATGGGGTCATTGGGGGCAATGGGGTCATGGGGGGCAATGGGGTCATTGGGGGGCCAATGAGGTCATTGGGGGGCAATGGGGGAACCCAACCCAGACCCCAAGGAACAGAGGGGACCCCACCAAGGGCTCAATGGGGCCAAGGGGACCCCAAGATCACCCCGGGGGGGGGGGGAGGGGGTGACCCCAAACCTTCTTCTCGTCCTTGTCCTCGGGGCCCCCCTTGCGCTCGGGCTCCGGGGCCCGGGGCTCCTCCTTGCGGGCGCCTTCGGCCTTGTCCCCGCGCTCCTCCTCCTCCTCCTGCTCCAGGATGCGGAGGTCGTGCTCCGTGCCCCCCTCCATCTTGATCACGGCTGGGGGGAGTCACGTGATCAGGGATGGGGTCAGGTGATCAGGGATGCGGTCAGGTGATCAGGGATGGGGTCAGGGCATCAGGGATGGGGGTCAGGTGATCAAGGATGGGGGTCAGGTGACCATGGATGGGGTCAGGTGATCAGGGATGGGGTTTAGGACTCCATGAATGGGGTTTAGGGCACTGGGGATGGGGTTCAGGGCACCGGGGATGGGGTCAGGTGACCAGGGATGGGGTTTAGGGCACTGGGGATGGGTTTAGGGCACCATGGATGGGGATCACGTGATGAGGGATGGGGTCGGGTGACCATGGATGTGGGTCAGGTGATCAGGGATGGGGTCAGGTGACCATGGACAGGGTTAGGTGACCATGGATGGGGTCAGGTGATCAGGGATGTGGGTCAGATGAGCATGGACGGGGTCAGGTGACCATGGACGGGGTCAGGGTACCACGAATGGGGTTCAGGGCATGGGGGGGGGTCCCCACCTGCATCCAGCATCTTGATGATGGCAGGAGCCCGGTCGATGTCCAGCAGCAGGTTCTCGAACCAGCCGTTGTCCGCCAGGTAGAGGAAGACGTTGAGGCGGTTCCGCAGCGCGGCCTGGACCTCCTGGCGCCGCCGGCCAACCTCGTCCGGGTGGTACTTGGAGCGGAACCTGGGGGGAAGGGGCCGGGGGGGAGTTAGTATGGACCATAGGAACGCAATGGGATGCTCCGGGGAGAGGGACCCCTATAGCAGCTATGGGACCCCCCCATTGGCACGCAATGGGATGCTCCAGGGGTGCCCCTATAGCAGCAATGGGAAGGGAATGGAGTCAGCATCCCCCATTGGAACACTATGGGATGCTCTGCGGGGTCCCTATAGCAGCAATGGGGGGGAATGGGACTCCCCCATTGGAACACAATGGGATGCTCCAGGGGGTTCCCTATAGCAGCAACGGGGGGGGATGGAGTTAGTATTGTCCATTGGCACACAATGGGATGCTCCGGGGGGTCCCTATAGCAGCAATGGGGGCGATGGAGTTAGCATCACCCATTGGCACACAATGGGATACTCCGGGGGGTACCTATAGCAGCAATGGGGTGGGGATGAGACCCCCCCCAATTGGCACGCAATGGGATGCTCTGGGGGGTCCCCTATAGCATCAATGGGAAGGGAATGGAGTCAGCATCCCCCATTGGAACACAATGGGATGCTCCAGGGGGTCCCCTATAGCAGCAATGGGTGGGGGGGGAATGGGATCCCCCCATAGGCACACGATTAGATGCTCCAGGGGGTCCCCTATAGCATCAATGGGGGAGCCCCATCCCCATCATACACACACACATTGGGCTGCACCACTGCAGTCGGGGGGGGGGGGAATGGGACCCCCCATAGGCACGCAATGGGATGCTCCAGGGAGCAGGGACCCCCCCCTATTTCACCAATGGGGGAGCCCCATCCCCATCCCACACACACACACATTGGACTGCACCATTGCAATGTTGGGGGGGGACATGTGTTCCTGGTAATGGGACCCCCCCCATAGGCACGCAGTGGGGTACCCCACTATAGCAAAGACGGGGTGAGGAGGAGCCCCATATGTTAATGAGAAGAAATGGGGGAACCCCCCAGTTCATAACTGGGGTACGAGGACCCCCGTAGTTGCATAAAGGGCTACAGGGAGCCCCCCATGATAGTGGGGGGGGCCATAGGGGACGTCATTTGTACCCAATCAAGCCATGGGGACCCCCTCAGCCCCAATTGGGGCGCAGAGACCCCCATATCAGACCCCACCCGCCCCCCCTCCCTGCTCCCAGTGTGGGGGTGCAGATCCTACCAATGCCATGGGGTGGGGGGGGTCATACATACCCGTTTCTGTCCATCCAGGCCCCGCTTCGGCGCGCTTACCATTAAAACGGGGGTGGGGGGGACACAAACACCCCCAAAATGCTCCAAAAAGGGGGGGTTTTGGGGGTTGGGGGGGCGGGGGGGGGGGGGAGGGGGTGTCCCCCCCCCAAAAAGAAAACAACAAACGCCCTGCCTGCGTCCTGCCACTGTGCGCCTCTGGGCCGCATTGTGCGCGGCGCCCAGCCCTCGCTGTCTGCCCGCAGCCCCCCCCCGGGCCGCACATGGAACGCTCCAACCCGGGGGGGGGCCAAACCAACCCGGCTCTTATGGGGGGGGATGGGGGGGGGGGGGTGGGCTCCAGGCGGCTCCGGAGGGGGCGCTTCCGAGGAGGGGAGAAAAGGGAACGGTCGTTAAAGATCCGCGGCACCACCCCCCGCCTCCCCCCCCCCACACCCCCCCGCGCCCAGGACCACTTGGGCTCGTCCCGGCTGGGGCCTCGCTGCTGCTGCGGGGGCGGTTCCAACGCTTTGGGGGCGTTTCCAAGGGTTTTGGGGGCGTTTCTAATGCTTTTGGGGGCGTCTCCAACGATTTTAGGGGCGTTTTTAACGGTTTTAGGGGCGTTTCTAATGCTTTGGGGGCGATTCCAACACGTTTAGGGGCGTTTCTAAAGCTTTTAGGGCGTTTTCAAAGTTTTCAGGAGCATTTCAGGGGCGTTTCTAACATGTTTAGGGGTGTTTCTAACGCTTTTGGGGGCGTCTCCAACTGTTATAGGGGCCTTTTTAACCGTTTTAGGGGCATTTGCAACAGGTTTAGGGGGTTTCTAACACTTTTGGGGGCACCTCCAAGGGTTTGGGGGCCATTTTTCCTATTTTGGGGGCTGTTCCTGCCATTTCTGGGGTCATTTTTCCTGTTTGGGGGCCTTTCTTTCCCATATTGGGGTTATTTCTGACATTTCTGGGCCATTTTTTCTATTTTGGTGGCCGTTCCTGCCATTTCTGGCATCATTTTTCCTGTTCTGGGGCTGTTTTTCCTATTTTGGGGATCATGTCTACCATTTCTGGGCCATTTTTCCTATTTTTGGGGCCATTCCTGCCATTTTGGGGTCATTTTTCCCATTTCTGGGGCCATTTTTCCCATTTTGGGGTCATTTCTACCATTTCTGGGCTGGTTTTCCCCTTTCTGGGGCCATTTTTCCCATTTTGGGGTCATTTCTGCCATTTCTGGGCCATTTTTCCTATATTTGGGACCGTTCCTGCCATTTCTGGGGTCATTTTTCCCATTTTGGGGTCATTTCTGCCATTTCTGGCCCATTTTTCCTATTTTTGGGTCCATTCCTGCCGTTTCTGGGGTCATTTCTCCCATTTTGGGGTCATTTATCCCCTTTCTGGCTCCGTTTCCCCCTGTTTTGGTCCCATTCCCCCCTGTTTTAGGGCCATCCCCCCCACGCACCACTCCTCGTCCTTGTGGGCCAGGAAGAAGTCCTGCAGCTGCTGGCGCCGGAAGTCCACCTTGTACTCGTTGTAGCGCTTCACGGCCTCCGTCTCGTCCACGGCGTCGTCCAGCGAGAGCAGGAACTCCTTGAAGCTCTTGAGCACGGGGGGGGCCAGGCCCAGCTCCACCTCCGCGATGCTCCCCAGTCTGCTTGGGGGGGCGGCGGCACCGTCAGGACCCCCGTGGGCAAGCTAGGGGGAGGCTGGGGGGGGGTTTGGGGGGGCTATGGGGCAGCTATGGGGGGCGCTACGGGGCGGGTTTGGGGTGGCTGAGGGGGGGGTTTGGGGTGGCTATGGGGCGGCGGGGTGGTTTAGGGGGCGTTTGGGGCTCTTATTGAGTGACTTGGGGCACTTATAGGGTGTTTGGGGGGGCTATGGGGCAGTTATTGCGGCAGTGGAGGGGGTTTGGGGGGGTTAGAGGGGATTTGGGGCTCTTATTAAGTGACTTAGAGCACTTCTAGGGTGTTTGGGGAGCTATGGGGCGGCTATGGGGGGGCTTAGGGGCAGCTATGGGGGGGCTATGGGGCAGCTAGGGGGGGCTATGGGGCTGCTATGGGGGGGGTTTGGGGCGGCTATGGGGCAGCTATGGGGCGGCTGGGGGGGTGGGGGTTTAGGGGGGTTTGGGGCTCTTATTGAGTGACTTGGGGCACTTCTAGGGTGTTTTAGGGCACTTCTGGGCGGCTTTTAAGCCATTTTTGAGCAGTTTCAGCCCATTCTGTGGTGCTATTGAGCACTTTTAGAGTATTTTAGGGCACTTTTAGAGTGCTTTAGAGCACTTTCAGGGTGTTTTGGGGCACTCTTAGGTTGTTTTTGGGGCAATTTTAGGGTGTTTGTTTTGGGGCACTTTTAGGGTGTTTTAGGGCACTTTTAGAGTGCTTTAGAGCACTTTCAGTGTGTTTTGGGGCACTTTGAGGGTGTTTGTTTTGGGGCACTTTTAGGGTGTTTTAGGACACTTTTAGGGTGTTTTGGGGCACTTTTAGGGTGTTTGTTTTTGGGCACTTTTAGGGTGTTTTAGGACACTTTTAGGGTGTTTTGGGGCACTTTTAGGGTGTTTGTTTTGGGGCACTTTTAGGGTGTTTTAGGACACTTTTAGGGTGCTTTGGGGCACTTTTAGGGTGTTTTAGGACACTTTTAGGGTGTTTTGGGGCACTTTTAGGGTGTTTGTTTTGGGGCACTTTTAGGGTGTTTTAGGACACTTTTAGGGTGCTTTGGGGCACTTTTAGGGTGTTTTCGGGCACTTTTCAGGTGTTTTGGGGCACTTTTGGGGGGTATTTTCACCATTCCCGGCCCGTTTCAGCCCGCGGAGGGTCCTTACCTGGCCTGGATGGGCAGGATGTGGTGCTGCATCACGTGCATCTCTGGGTGCCCCCAGGGCTGGGGGGGGCCGTAGGTGGGGCCGGCGCCCCCCCCGCTGTAGGGCCCCTCGTAGCCGCTGTGGTAGGGATCGGTGCTGTGCTCATCCCTAGGGAATGGGGGGGGGTGAGGATGGAGCCGGATCCATTGGGATCCATTGGGGTCCATTGGGGTCCATTGGGGTCCATTGGGATCCATTGGGATCCATTATGGGGGGGGGGGGCTGGTGCTCACCAATCGCGTCGCAGGCGCTTCTGGGGGGGGCTGAGCTCATGGCGGGGGGGGGAGAAGCGTTCCCGCCGTGGCCGGTCGTAATCCCGGTACTCGCCACGGCTCCGGCGCTCCCGGCCCCGGTCCCAATCCCTATGGAAACGGGGGGGGAGAAAGGGAAGCAATGGGGGAACCCCCGTTCATTAACAGGGCCTGGGCCTGCTCCAAGGCCTGGTCCTCCGGGACCACCCCCCTCCATTAACGGGGCCTAGGCCCGCTTCAAGGCCTGGTCCTCCGGGCCCACCCCCCTCCATTAACAGGGCCTAGGCCCGCTCCAAGGCCTGGTCCTCCGGGCCCATCCGCCTCCATTAACGGGGCCTAGGCCTGCTCCAAGGCCTGGTCCTCCGGGCCCACCCCCCTCCATTAACAGGGCCTAGGCCTGCTCCAAGGCCTGCTCCTCCGGGCCCACCCCCTCCCATTAACGGGCCCTTAGGCCGCTCCAAGGCCGTTACCGGTCGCTCCAGTCCTCTCGGCGCCGCTCCTCCCGCTCCCGGGAGCGGTCGTAGTCGCTTCGCTCCCGGCGGAACTTGTCCCGCCTGCGCCGGTCGTACTCATCATCGCTGTCCGCCATTGCTACGGACGGAACCGGTCACGGAGAGCGGGGGGGGGGAGTGAGGGTCCGCCACCGGCCCACAATGCCCCGCGACACCACCCCCACCTCTCCGGTGACGTTACCCTCGTTCTGACGTCACCTCCGCTCCTCGCGCCGGTGCCGGTGGCGACGCGATCACCCAGCCCCCCCCCCGCGAGGCGAGCGCGCGCGCCAGAGCTGCCGCCCGCCCGCTTCCGGTTGGCGCCGGCCGGATGTGACGTCACACGCAAGGGGAGGAGGGTGGAGGAGGAGGCGGGATGGGAGGCCGCTCTAGCCGCGGTGGAGGACTCAGTGGTTGCGGGGTGGTCGCGATGGGAGCGGGAAGGGAAGGAGCGGCAATGAGAGGGGAGGATGGGAAAGGGGAGCAGGCCGCAGCGGGGAGCTCTATGGTAGCGGGAGGCGGGGTAAGTGGCGCCTTGGAGGACTCCGGCTCTATGGTACGGAGCACGGGGGGGCGGGGCCGCGCATGCGCCGTGGCCTCCCATTGGCCGCCGCGCAGCCCGCCGTCACGAGAGAGGGGCTGCGGGCCGCCATGTTTAGGCTGAAGCCGGACTGGGCGGCGCCATCGCGGCCTCGGCGCCATTTGGGCGGGAGAGCTCCGCGCATGCGCAAAGGGAGCTTCACCCCCCCCCCCCCCAAGACAAACGGTGCCCCCCCCATGACCTCCCCTGTGACCCCCAAGGACCCCCCCAATCCCAACCAATCCCAACCATTCCCATCCCAGTCCATCCCAGTCCATCCCATTCCCATCCCATTCCCATCCCAATCCATCCCAGTCCCTCCCATTCCCTCCCAGTCCCTCCCAATCCATCCCAATCCCATCCCAACCCATCCCAGTCCATCCCAATCCATCCCAATCCATCCCATTCCCATCCCAACCCATCCCAATCCATCCCAATCCATCCCATTCCCATCCCAATCCATCCCATTCCCATCCCAATCCATCCCAATCCCATTCCAATCCATCCCATTCCTATCCCATTCCCATCCCAATCCATCCCATTCCCATCCCAATCCATCCCAGTCCATCCCAATCCATCCCAATCCATCCCATTCCCATCCATTTCCATCCCAATCCATCCCAATCCATCCCAGTCCATCCCAATCCATCCCATTCCCATCCCAATCCATCCCAATCCCATTCCAATCCATCCCATTCCTATCCCATTCCCATCCCAATCCCATCCCATTCCCATCCCAACCCATGCCAATCCATCCCAGTCCATCCCAATGTATCCCAATCCATCCCATTCCCATCCCAATCCATCCCATTCCCATCCCAATCCCATCCTCCCAATCCATCTCAATCCCATCCCAATCCCATCCCATTCCCATCCCAACCCATCCCAGTCCATCCCAACCCATCCCAATCCATCCCAGTCCATCCCATTCCCATCCCAATCCCATCCCAGTCCATCCCAATCCATCCCATTCCCATCCCAGTCCATCCCAATCTATCCCAGTCCATCCCATTCCCATCCCAATCCCATCCCAATCCATCTCAATCCATCCCAATCCCATCCCAATCCATCCCATTCCCATCCCATTCCCATCCCAACCCATCCCAATCCATCCCATTCCATCCCAATCCATCCCAATCCATCCCAGTCCATCCCAGTCCATCCCATTCCCATCCCATTCCCATCCCAACCCCCCCCTCAGGCCCCCCTCCCCCTCCCTGCCCGGGGTCACGACCCCGCATCCTCCCCTCCCCCCGGGGGGAAGCGCTCAACAAAGGCGTTTCCTGCCCCTCCCCCTCCGTTCCCGGCCCCTCCCTGCGGTGGGGGGGGGGAGGGGGGGGCCCGGGCCCGGACCCAGGGACCGGGACCCGCGGGCTCGGACGGACCCAAACCCGTCCGGATTGAACCCAAAATCCGCCCCCCCTCCCCCATCCACGGGCACCGAGGGGGGGGAGGGGGCGCTGGGGACCCCCCCCTCGCTATGGGGCTGTGGCTGCTGTGGCTGTGGGTGCAGATGGGGTGCGCTGAGGAGGGTGAGCTATGGGGCGCTATGGGGCAGGCGTGGGGATGGGGGGGTGTGGGGATGGAGGGGGGATCCGGGGAGATGTGGGGCCGGGATGTGGGGCTGAGACATAGATCCTATGGGATGTGGGGCCGGGACAGGGATCCTATGGGATGTGGGGCCGGGACAGGGATCCTATGGGATGTGGGGCCGGGACGGGATCCGGGATTGGGGCGGGAGTGGGGCTGGGATCTATGGGTTGTGGGGCCGGGACAGGGATCCTATGGGATGTGGGGCCGGGATGTGGGGCTGTAAATGTGGGGCCGGGATGTGGGGCTGGAAATGGGGATCCTATGGGATGTGGGGCCGGGATGTGGGGCTGGGACAGGGATCCTATGGGATGGGGTGCGGGGATGTGGGGCGGGGGTGTGGGGCCGTGGGGCTGGGGTGTGGGGCTGGGGTGTGGGGCTATGGAGCTGGGATGCAGGGATGTGGGGCTGGGATGTGGGGCTGTGGGGCTGGGATGCGGGGCTGGGGTGGGGGGCTATGGGATATGGGGCTGGGATGCGGGGCTATGGGGCTGGGATGTGGGGCTGTGGGGCTGGGATGCGGGGCTATGGGGCTGGGATGTGGGGCTGGGATGCGGGGCTATGGGATGTGGGTCTGGAGATGTGGGGCTGGGATGTGGGGCTGGGATGTGGGGCTGGGATGTGGGGCTGGAGGGGGGGGATCCTATGGGATGTGGGGCTGGGATGTGGGGCTGGGATGTGGCTCCTATGGGATGTGGGTCTAGAGATGTGGGGCTTGGGATGTGCCATTGGAGATGTGGATCCTATGGAATGTGGGGCCGGGATGTGGGGCTGGAGAGGGGGGTTCCTATGGGATGTGGGGCTGGGCTGTGGGTCTGGCCCCCCCTGACCCCGCCCCCGTTGTGCCCCCCCAGAGACGCTGCTGAACACGAGGCTGGAGACAACGGATCTGAAGTGGACGGTGTACCCAGAGGGGGAGGGGCAGGTGGGCACCGGGAGCGGGGTATTATGGGATGGGGGTATAGGGGATGGGGGATGGGGGATGGCATATGGGATATAGGGGATGGGATTGATAGGGTATGAGATGGATGGGGTGGATGGTATGGATGGGATATGGGATATGGGGTATGGGATGTATGGGATGTATGGGGTATGGGGTATGGGATATGGGGTATGGGATGTATGGGATGTATGGGGTGGGGTATCAGGTGTGGGATATGGGGTATGGGATATGGGGTATGGGGTATGGGGTATGGGATATGGGGTATGGGGTATGCGGTGTGGTATATAGGCTATGGGATATGGGGTATGGGATATATGGGATATGAATATGGGGTAGATGGGGTGTAGTATATAGGGTATGGGATATGGGGTATTGGGTATGGGATATGGGGTATGGGGTATGGAGTATGGGATATGGGGTATGGGGTATGGGGTATGGGATGTATGGGATATGGAGTATGGGATATGGGGTATGGGGTATGGGATATGGGGTATGGGGTATGGGGTATGGGATATGGGATATGGGGTATGGGATGTATGGGATATGGAGTATGGGATATGGGGTATGGGGTATGGGTATGGCCGGAGGGGCCTCCCCCATGCCCCCCCATCCCCATTGCCCGCAGTGGGAGGAGGTTTCGGCGCTGGACCCGGAGCGCGGCTCCTCCGTGCGCACGTTCGAGGTGTGCTCGGTGCTGGGGCCCCCCGGCCCCCCCCAGAACAGTTGGCTCCGCTCCCAGTGGGTCCCGCGCCGTGGGGCCACCCACGTCTACCTGGAGCTGCGCTACAGCGTCCTGGCCTGCGACGGGCTCCCCCGGCACCGGCACCGGCACCGCCGCGGCACCGCCAGCAGCACCACCGATGCGCATGGTAACGGCCATAGCAACCGGCCTAGCAACCGGGATGCTCTTGGTAACGGCCATAGCAACCCCCCTAGCAACCGGGATGCTCCTCGTAACGGCCATAGGAACTGGGATGCTCTTGGTAACGGCCATAGCAACCCCCCTAGCAACCGGGATGCTCTTGGTAACGGCCATAGCAACCCGCCTAGCAACCGGGATGCTCTTGGTAACGGCCATAGCAACCTGCCTAGCAACCGGGATGCGCTTGGTAACGGCCATAGCAACCCGCCTAGCAACCGGGATGCTCTTGGTAACGGCCATAGCAACCTGCCTAGCAACCGGGATGCTTGGTAACGGCCATAGCAACCTGCCTAGCAACCGGGATGCTCTTGGTAACGGCCATAGCAACCTGCCTAGCAACCGGGATGCTCTTGGTAACGGCCATAGCAACCCGCCTAGCAACCGGGATGCTCTTGGTAACGGCCATAGCAACCTGCCTAGCAACCGGGATGCTCTTGGTAACGGCCATAGCAACCTGCCTAGCAACCGGGATGCTCTTGGTAACGGCCATAGCAACCTGCCTAGCAACCGGGATGCTCTTGGTAACGGCCATAGCAACCCGCCTAGCAACCGGGATGCCCTTGGTAACGGCCATAGCAACCTGCCTAGCAACCGGGATGCTCTTGGTAACGGCCATAGCAACCTGCCTAGCAACCGGGATGCTCTTGGTAACGGCCATAGCAACCCGCCTAGCAACCGGGATGCGCTTGGTAACGGCCATAGCAACCTGCCTAGCAACCGGGATGCTCTTGGTAACGGCCATAGCAACCTGCCTAGCAACCGGGATGCTCTTGGTAACGGCCATAGCAACCTGCCTAGCAACCGGGATGCTCTTGGTAACGGCCATAGCAACCTGCCTAGCAACCGGGATGCTCTTGGTAACGGCCATAGCAACCAGCCTAGCAACCGGGATGCGCTTGGTAACGGCCATAGCAACCCGCCTAGCAACCGGGATGCTCTTGGTAACAGCCATAGCAACCCCCCTAGCAACCGGGATGCGCTTGGTAACGGCCATAGCAACCTGCCTAGCAACCGGGATGCTCTTGGTAACGGCCATAGCAACCTGCCTAGCAACCGGGATGCTCTTGGTAACGGCCATAGCAACCGGGATGCTCTTGGTAACGGCCATAGCAACCTGCCTAGCAACCGGGATGCTCCTGGTAACGGCCATAGCAACCGGGATGCTCCTGGTAACGGCCATAGCAACCGGGATGCTCTTGGTAATGGCAAGGCAAGCGAGGCAGCAATGGAGATGGGTACCAGGGTGGTCTCGGTGATGGCCCTGGCAACAAGGATGCTCTTGGCAACCAGGATGCTGTTGGCAAGGTCCTTGGCAACCATGGCTCTCTTCACACAGGTCTTGGTACCCATGGCAGCATGGCTGGATACCACAATCGCCATGACAACCATGACACCCATAGCAACTACGCTGGATACCGTGATGCTCATAGCAACGATGATGCCCATAGCAACGCCATTGACAGCCCTGGTCTCCATGCCAACCATGATGCTCATAGCAGCTATCCTGGATACCATGATACCCTTAGCAACGATGATGCCCATAGCAACGCCATTGACCTCCACCGTCTCCATGCCAACCACGATGCCCATAGCAACGACGATGCCCATAGCAACACCATTGACCTCCACGGTCTCCATGGCAACCACGATGCTCATAGTAACGATGATGCTCATAGCAACAGCATTGACATCCACGGTCTCCATGGCAACCACGATGCCCTTAGCAACGACGACGCCCATAGCAACGGTGATGTCCATAGCAACGCTTCTGGGTACCACGATCCCCTTAGCAACGATGATGCCCATAGCAACACCATTGACATCCACGGTCTCCATGGCAACCACGATGCCCTTAGCAACGCTTCTGGGCACCACGATGCCCTTAGCAACGACGATGCCCATAGCACCGCCAATGACATCCACGGTCTCCATGGCAACGACGATGCCCTTAGCACCACCAATGACATCCACGGTCTCCATGGCAACGACGATGCCCATAGCACCACCAATGACATCCACGGTCTCCATGGCAACGACGATGCCCTTAGCACCACCAATGACATCCACGGTCTCCATGGCAACGACGATGCCCATAGCAACACCAATGACATCCACGGTCTCCATGGCAACGACGATGCCCATAGCAACACCAATGACATCCACGGTCTCCATGGCAACGACGATGCCCATATCACCCCCCCCAACTCCTCCCTATCCCCCCCCCACCGCCACCCCCGCGCCGCCCCCTTCCCCCCCCGCCCCTGCAAGGAAACCTTCACCGTGTTCTACCACGAGAGCGACGCCGACACCGCCACGGCTCTGTCCCCGCCGTGGATGGAGAACCCCTACGTGAAGGTGGGCACGGTGGCGGCCGAGCACCTGAGCCGGGCCGGATGGCGGCGCACCGGTGTTACCGGTGTCACCGGTGTTACTGGTGTTACTGGTGTTACTGGTGTCACTGGTGTCAGTGGGGGCGTGAACCGGCGCACGCTGCGCCTGGGCCCCCTGAGCCGCGCCGGTCTCTACGTGGCCTTCCAGGACGCCGGCGCCTGCCTGGCGCTGCTCTCGGTTCGCCTCTTCCTGCGCCGCTGCCCGGAAGTGACCTCGCTCCGCGCCCGCTTCCCCCCCACCCTCCCCCGCGAGCTGGTGGCGCCGGTGCCGGGGCGCTGCGTGCCGGGGGCCGTGGTGGCGGGGGGGGGAGGGGCGATGCCCCTCATGTACTGCCGCGAGGACGGGAGGTGGGCGGAGCCCCCCGCGCAGGGCTGCGAGTGCGGGGCTGGCAACGAGGAGGATGGAGGGGAAGGGTGCAGGGGTGAGTATGGGGGGCTATGGGGCAGGGGATGGGGGCTATGGGGCAGGGTATGGGGGCTATGGGGCAGGGTATGGGGGCTATGGGGCAGGGTATGGGGTGGCTATGGGGCAGGGTATGGGGTGGCTATGGGGCAGGGTATGGGGTTGCTATGGGGCAGGGTATGGGGTGGCTGTGGGGTGGCTATGGGGCAGGGTATGGGGGATGGAGGGGTGTGGGGCTATGGGGCAGGTTATGGGGGATGTGGGGCAGGTTATAGGGGAGCTATGGGGCAGGTTATGGGGGCTATGGGGCAGGGGTGTGGGGCTATGGGGCAGGATGTGGGGCTATGGGGCAGGGGGTGTGGGGCTATGGGGCAGGGTATGGGGGGGATGTGGGGCAGGGTATGGGGGGCTATGGGGCAGGGTATGGGGGCTATGGGGCAGGGTATGGGGGGGCTATGGGGCAGGCTATGGGGGCTATGGGGCAGGGTATGGGGGGGATGTGGGGCAGGGTATGGGGGCTATGGGGCAGGGTATGGGGGCTATGGGGCAGGGTATGGGGGGTATGGGGGGGTATGGGGCACTGTATGGGGGCTATGGGGGCTATGGGGCAGGGTATGGCGTCTATGGGGGCTGTGGGGAACTGTATGTGGGCTATGGGGGCTGTGGGGTAGTGTATGGGTGCTATGGGATACTGCATGGGTGCTATGGGGTGCTATGGGGCAGTCTGTGGGTGCAGTGGGACACTGTATGGGCGCTATGGGGTGCTATGGGATACTGTATGGGTGCTATGGGTGCTATGGGGTGCTATGGGCGCTATGGGGTCCTATGGGGCGCTATGGATCCCGGTGTCCCAGCTGTGTCCCCACATGACCCCTCCCTCTCTCTCCCCTCCCCTCCCCCCCCCCCCAGCCTGCCCCCCCGGCAGCTTCAAGGCGGAGGTGGGGGAGGGGCGGTGCCAGCCCTGCCCCCCCGGGAGCCAGGCCCCAACCCCCGGTGCCGCCGCCTGCGCCTGCAGCCCCGGGCACTTCCGGGCCCCCGGGGAGGGCCCCGAGCTCCGCTGCTCCGGTAGGGACCAGGGAGCACTGGGGGGGGATATGGGGGAGCTATGGGGTCCTATGGGGCTCTATGGGGTCCTATGGGGGGGCTATGGGGTACTATGGGGCTCTATGGGGTCCTATGGGGGGTATTGGGTTCCTATGGGGGGTACTGGGGGCCTGGGTCTATGGAGGGGGTGAACTGTGGGGCTGGGGGTATGGGAGGAGGTGGAATTGGGGGTGCAGACTCCATCATCCATGCTCAGTAGGATGCTCTATTTCATATCCATAGAGATGCTCTATTCCATATCCATAGGGATGCCCCATAGGGATGCTCTATACCCATAGGGATGCTCCATAGGGATGCTCTATACCCATAGGGATGCCCCATAGGGATGCTCTATACCCATAGGGATGCTCCATAGGGATGCTCTATATCCATAGGGATGCTCTATAGGGGTGTTCTATACCCATAGGGATGCTCTATATCCATAGGGATGCTCCATAGGGATGCTCTATAGGGATGCTCCATAGGGATGCTCTATAGGATGCCCCATAGGGATGCCCCATAGGGATGCCCCATAGGGATGCTCTATACCCATAGGGCTGCTCCATAGGGATGCCCCATAGGGATGCTCTATATCCATAGGGATGCCCCATAGGGATGCTCTATAGGGATGCCCCATAGGGATGCTCCATAGGGATGCTCCATAGGGATGCTCCATAGGGATGCTCTATAGGGATGCTCCATAGGGATGCCCCATAGGGCTGCTCTATATCCATACCCATAGGGATGCTCTATACCCATAGGGATGCTCCATAGGGATGCTCTATACCCATAGGGATGCTCCATAGGGATGCTCTATATCCATAGGGATGCTCCATAGGGATGCTCCATAGGGATGCTCTATACCCATAGGGCTGCTCCATAGGGATGCCCCATAGGGCTGCTCTATATCCATACCCATAGGGATGCTCTATACCCATAGGGGTGCTCCATAGGGATGCTCTATACCCATAGGGCTGCTCCATAGGGATGCCCCATAGGGATGCTCTATACCCATAGGGGTGCTCCATAGGGATGCTCTATACCCATAGGGATGCTCTATACCCATAGGGATGCTCCATAGGGATGCTCCATAGGGATGCCCCATAGGGATGCTCTATATCCATAGGGCTGCTCCATAGGGATGCCCCATAGGGATGCTCTATATCCATACCCATAGGGCTGCTCTATACCCATAGGGATGCTCCATAGGGATGCCCCATAGGGATGCTCTATACCCATAGGGCTGCTCCATAGGGATGCCCCATAGGGCTGCTCTATATCCATCTCCCCCCCTCCCCGCAGCTCCCCCCTCGGCCCCACGTGGTCTCCAGGCCCTCCTCAACGGCTCCGTGGCGCGGCTGCTCTGGGCGCGCCCCCGCGTCGGGGCCGAGCGCGCGGACCTCTCCTTCTCGGTCACGTGCCGGCAGTGCCCGGCGCGGGAGGGGGCGGGGCCGTGCGCGCCCTGCTCCGGCCTCAGCTTCAGCCCCGGGGCCGCCGCCGTGCGCGCCCCCGCGGTCACCGTCAGCGGCCTCCGCGCGCGCCTCCGCTACAGCTTCCGGGTCACCGCCACCAGCGGCGTGAGCGCGCTCAGCCCCGTCCCCGCCGCCAGCGCCGACGTCAACGTCACGTGCTGCGGGGAGGGTGAGCGCGGGGAGGGGGGGGGCGGACCCGAGCGGATCCGTAGGAACCCGAATGGATCCGAACGGACCCGGACTGACCGGAACTGACCTGAACGGACCCGGACGGACCCGAACGGACCCGAACGGACCCGAACGGACCCGGACTGACCGGAACGGACCTGACGGACCCGAACGGACTCGGACTGACCGGAACGGACCCGGACTGACCGGAACTGACCTGACGGACCCGGACGGGTCCGAACGGACCCGAACGGACTCGGACTGACCGGAACGGACCCAGATGGACCCGAACGGATCCGAATGGACCCGAATGGATCCGAACGGACTCGGACTGACCGGAACTGACCTGAACGGACCCGGACGGGTCCGAACGGACCCGAACGGACTCGGACTGACCGGAACGGACCCGGACTGACCTGAACGGACCCAGATGGACCCGAACGGATCTGAATGGACCCGAATGGATCCGAACGGACTCGGACTGACCGGAACTGACCTGAACGGAGCCGGACGGACCCGGACTGACCGGAACGGACCCGGACTGACCTGAACGGACCCAGATGGATCCGAACGGATCCGAATGGACCCGAATGGATCCGAACGGACTCGGACTGACCGGAACTGACCTGAACGGACCCGGACGGACCCGGACTGACCGGAACGGACCCAGATGGACCCGAACGGATCCGAATGGACCCGAATGGATCCGAACGGACTCGGACTGACCGGAACTGACCTGAACGGACCCGAATGGATCCGAACGGATCCGAATGGACCCGGACGGAACCGAACAGATCCGAATGGACCCGAACTGACCGGAACGGACCCGGACGGACCCGAACAGATCCGAATGGACCCGAATGGATCCGGACGGACCGGAACGGATCCAAACGGACCGGAACAGACTGGAACTGACCGGAATGGACCCGAACGGACCCAAACGGATCCTAATGGACCCGAATGGATCCGAACCTGACCTGGACAGACCGGAAATGACCCGACTGGACCCAAATGGACCCAGACTGCTCTGAATGGACCTGAACTGACCCAAAGTGCCCCAAAATACACCCCAAAATGACCCGAAGTGACACAAAGTGCCCCAGGCCACCCAAAAGGACCCAAAGTGGCCCCAAATAGACCCCCCCCCCCCAAAAATCCAAAGTGACCCTGAACTGATCCAAAGTGACCCCAAAGCACTCAAACTGGCCCAAAGGCACCCCAAAACTGCCCAAAATCACTGAAAATGGCCCAAAGACACCAAAACCGCCCCAAAATCACTCAAAATGACCCAAAGTTACCCCATAGAGGCTGAAATGACCCAAAGTGACCTCAAAGAGCCCGAAATGACCTCGAGTAACCCCGGTGACCTCGAGTAACCCCGGTGACCGCGAGTAACCCCAAAGTGAACTCTAGTAACCCCAAAGTGACCTCGAGTAACCCCAATGACCGCGAGTAACCCCGAGGGGGCCCTGAGAATGACCTAAAGTAACCCCGGCTTGACCTGAAGTAACCCCGGGCTTCTCAAAACCGAGCGAAATGCCCGCGAGTAACCCCAATGACCCCAAGTGACCCCAATGACCGGCAGTAACCCCAACGTGACCCCCAGGTGACCCCAATGACCGGCAGTAACCCCAACGTGACCCCCAGGTGACCCCAATGCCCTCTAGTAACCCCGCACTGACCTGCAGTAACCCCAATCCCCCCCCCCCCCCAGTGCCGTTACCGGTGGTGGACGTGGTGCGGGTCGGGGCCTCCCCCACCGGGGTGACGCTGTCATGGCCGGCACCCCCCCCTCCCCCCCCGGGGGGGCACGTCCTGGACTATGAGGTCAAATACTATGAGAAGGTGAGGGGGGGAGGGGGGGGGATGGGGGTAATGGGGGCAATGGGGTAATGGGGAGATGGGGGTAATGGGGGTGATGGGGGCAATGGGGGTAATGGGGGCAATGGGGACAATGGGGGCAATGGGAGCAATGGGGTAATGGGGGAAATGGGGGTAATGGGGGTGATGGGGGCAATGGGAGCAATGGGGGCAATGGGGGCAATGGGGACAATGGGGGCAATGGGAGCAATGGGGTAATGGGGTGATGGAGGTGATGGGGGCAATGGGGGTAATGGGGGCAATGGGGTAATGGGGGCAATGGGGGAATGGGGGCAATGGGGGCAATGGGGCAATGGGTGCAATGGGGTAATGGGGGCAATGGGGTAATAGGGGTGATGGGGACAATGGGAGCAATGGGGACAATGGGGGCAATGGGGGCAATGGGGGCAATGGGAGCAATGGGGTAATGGGGGTGATGGAGGTGATGGGGACAATGGGGGTAATGGGGGCAATGGGGGCAATGGGGTAATGGGGGCAATGGGGTAATGGGGGCCATGGGAGCAATGGGGAAATAGGGGGCAAATGGGGGCACTGGTGGCACTGGGAGCACTGGGAGCACTGGGGTCAATGCAGTTCAACGGCTCCTGTTGTTTCCTGCCATGCACAGGTGGGGGGGGGCGAGGGCCCCCCCATGTTCCTTAAGGTGCCGTCGGCGCGGGTGGAGCTGGGGGGGCTGCGCCGGGGGGGGCTCTATGGGGTGCGGGTGCGAGCCCGCTCCGAGGCCGGGTACGGGGACTTCGGGCCTGAGACGGCCGTGAGCCCCCAGGGCACCGGTGAGGCCCCCCCCATGGGACCCCCCCATGGGACCCCCCCATTGACACCCCATGGGACCCCCCCCATGGACCCCCCCATTGACACCGCATGGGACTCCCCCATGGGACCCCCCCATGGGACCCCCCCATTGACACCCCATGGACCCCCCCATGGACCCCCCCATTGACACCCATTCACCCCCCATTGACCCCCCCATGGGACCCCCCCATTGACACCGCATGGACCCCCCCATGGGACCCCCCCATTGACTCCCATTGACCCATGGGACCCCCCCATTGACACCACATGGACCCCCCCATGGGACCCCCCCATTGACCCCCATGGACCCCCCCATGGGACCCCCCCATTGAACCCCATTGACCCCCATTGACCCATGGGACCCCCCCATTGAACCCCATTGACCCATGGGACCCCCCCATTGACACCGCATGGGACCCCCCATGGGACCCCCCCATTGACACCCCATGGACCCCCCCATGGGACCCCCCCATTGACACCGCATGGACCCCCCCATGGGACCCCCCCATTGACACCGCATGGACCCCCCCATGGGACCCCCCCATTGACACCGCATGGACCCCCCCATGGGACACCCCCATTGACACCACATGGGATCCCCCCATGGGACCCCCCCATTGACACCCCATGGGACCCCCCCATTGACCCCCCCATGGACCCCCCCATTGACCCCATGACCCCATGGGACCCCCCCATTGACACCCCATGGACCCCCCCATTGACACCCATGGACCCCCCCATGGGACCCCCCCATTGACACCCCATTGACCCCATGGGACCCCCCATTGACACCCCATGGGACCCCCCCATTGACACCGCATGGACCCCCCCATGGGACACCCCCATTGACACCGCATGGACCCCATGGGACCCCCCCATTGACACCGCATGGACCCCATGGGACCCCCCCATTGACACCGCCTTGTAAATGGGACCCCCCCATGACCCCTTTGAGACCCCCCCCATGACCCCTTTGGGACCCCCCCCAGTACCCACTGGGACCCCCCCAGTACCCACTGGGACCCCCATAACCCCCTTTGGGCCCCTGTGCCCCCCCAATGACCCCTCCCTGTTTCCCCCCCCAGAGGGGGCCCGCTCGGAGCAGGGGGGGATCATGGCCGGAGCCGCGGCTCTTGGGGGGCTCCTGGTGCTGGCGCTGCTGGGGGGGACCCTGCTCTGCCTCAGGTGAGGGGGGCCCGGGGGGCAATGGGGGCTATGGGGGTAATGGGGCTATGGGGGGAATGGGGGCTATGGGGTAATGGGAGCTATGGGGTAATGGGGGGTATGGGGGTAATGGGGGTGATGGGGTAAAGGGGGCTATGGGGGGGTAATGGGGGTAATGGGGCTATGGGGTAATGGGGCAATGGGGGTAATGGGGCAATGGGGATAATGGGGGCAATGGGGTAATGGGGGCAATGGGAGTAATGGGGGCTATGGGGGGATAATGGGGGCTATGGGGCTGGTTGGGGGGGTCACTGGGTCACCCGTGTCCCTTCTGCCCCCCCCTTCAGGCGCCGCAGCCTCCGGCACAAGGAGGAAATGGAAGAGCCCTCGGAGCACGGTGAGAGTCACCCATGGACACCCATTGACACCCATTGACACCCATTGACACCCATTGACACCCATTGATACCCATTGACACCCATTGATACCCATTGATACCCATTGACACCCATTGACACCCATTGATACCCATTGATACCCATTGACACCCATTGACACCCATTGACACCCATTGATACCCATTGACACCCATTGACACCCATTGACACCCATTGACACCCATTGATACCCATTGACACCCATTGACACCCATTGACACCCATTGATACCCATTGACACCCATTGACACCCATTGACACCCATTGACACCCATTGATACCCATTGACACCCATTGACACCCATTGATCCATTGACACCCATTGACACCCATTGATACCCATTGATACCCATTGACACCCATTGACACCCATTGACACCCATTGACACCCATTGACACCCATTGACACCCATTGATACCCATTGATACCCATTGACACCCATTGATACCCATTGACCCATTGACACCCATTGACACCCATTGACACCCATTGACACCCATTGACACCCATTGATACCCATTGACACCCATTGATACCCATTGACACCCATTGACACCCATTGACACCCATTGACACCCATTGACACCCATTGATCCCATTGATACCCATTGACATCCATTGACACCCATTGCCCCCCTTGCCCCCTTGCCCCCGGTGCCCCTGGGTGACGCTGGGTGCCGGTGCAGGGGGGAAGCTCTACATTGACCCCCTGACGTACGAGGACCCGGGGCTGGCGCTCAGGGACTTTGCTCAGGAGATCGATGTCACCTGCGTCAAGATCGAGGAGGTCATCGGGGCAGGTGACCCCATGGGTGCCTATGGGCCCTATGGTCCCTATGGTCCCTATGGGTGCCTATGGGTCCCTATGGGTGCCTATGGGTCCTATGGGTCCCTATGGGTCCCTATGGGTGCCTATGGGTCCCTATGGGTGCCTATGGGCCCTATGGGTGCCTATGGGTCCCTATGGTCCCTATGGGTGCCTATGGGTCCCTATGGTCCCTATGTGCCCTATGGGTCCCTATGGTCCCTATGGGTCCCTATGGTCCCTATGTGTCCCATGGGTCCCTATGTATCCCCATGTGCCCCCTGTATCCCTATGTGCCCCATGTATCCCTATGTGTTTGTTGTTTTTTTGTGTGTTTTGTGTTTGTTGTTTTTTTGTGTGTTTGTGTTTACGTGCCCCCTGTATCCCTATGTATCCCTATGTGCTCCATGTATCCCTGTGTATCCCTATGTGCCCCCTGTATCCCTATGTACCCCTATGTGCGCCATGTATCCCTATGTATCCCCCTGTGCCCTCTGTATCCCTGTGTATCCCTACGTGCCCCCTGTATCCCTATGTGCCCCATATATCCCTATGTATCCCCCTGTGCCCCCTGCATCCCTATGTACACCTATGTGCCCCATGCATCCCTATGTATCCCTACGTGCCCCCTGTATCCCTATGTATCCCTATGTGCCCCATGCATCCCTATGTATCCCTCTGTGCCCCCTGCATCCCTATACATCCCTATATATCCCTATGCATCCCTATACATCCCTATATATCCCCATATACCCCTATACATCCCTGTATATCCCCATATATCCCTATACATCCCTATATACCCCTATGTATCCCTATATATCCCTATGTGCCCCCTGCATCCCCATACACCCCCATAGCCCCCCCCGTGACACCCCCATAGCCCCCCCCCCGTGACCCCCCTTGCCCCCTGTCCCCCCAGGCGAGTTCGGGGAGGTTTGCCGGGGCCGCCTGGCGCTGCCGGGGCTCCCCGAGGTGCCGGTGGCCGTGAAGACCCTGAAGGGGGGCGCGGGGGAGCGCCAGCGCCGGGAGTTCCTGGCGGAGGCGGCGCGGATGGGGCAGTTCCGGCACCCCAATGTGGTGCTGCTGCGGGGGGTGGTGACAGCCAGCACCCCAAGCATGATCCTCAGCGAGTACATGGAGAATGGGGCCCTGGATGCGTTCCTTAGGGTGAGCATGGGGGGACAGCACCCCAAGCATGATCCTCAGCGAGTACATGGAGAATGGGGCCCTGGACGCGTTCCTTAGGGTGAGCATGGGGGGACAGCACCCCAAGCATGATCCTCAGCGAGTACATGGAGAATGGGGCCCTGGATGGTTCCTTAGGGTGAGCATGGGGGGACAGCACCCCAAGCATGATCCTCAGCGAGTACATGGAGAATGGGGCCCTGGATGCGTTCCTTAGGGTGAGCATGGGGGACAGCACCCAAGCATGATCCTCAGCGAGTACATGGAGAATGGGGCCCTGGATGCGTTCCTTAGGGTGAGCATGGGGGGACAGCACCCCAAGCATGATCCTCAGCGAGTACATGGAGAATGGGGCCCTGGATGCGTTCCTTAGGGTGAGCATGGGGGGACAGCACCCCAAGCATGATCCTCAGCGAGTACATGGAGAATGGGGCCCTGGTTCCTAGGGTGAGCATGGGGGACAGCACCCCAAGCATGATCCTCAGCGAGTACATGGAGAATGGGGCCCTGGATGCGTTCCTTAGGGTGAGCATGGGGGGACAGCACCCCAAGCATGATCCTCAGCGAGTACATGGAGAATGGGGCCCTGGATGCGTTCCTTAGGGTGAGCATGGGGGGACAGCACCCCAAGCATGATCCTCAGCGAGTACATGGAGAATGGGGCCCTGGGTGCGTTCCTTAGGGTGAGCATGGGGGGACAGCACCCCAAGCATGATCCTCAGCGAGTACATGGAGAATGGGGCCCTGGATGCGTTCCTTAGGGTGAGCATGGGGGGACAGCCAGCACCCCAAGCATGATCCTCAGCGAGTACATGGAGAATGGGGCCCTGGTGACCCCAAGCATGATCCTCAGCGAGTACATGGAGAATGGGGCCCTGGATGCGTTCCTTAGGGTGAGCATGGGGGGACAGCACCCCAAGCATGATCCTCAGCGAGTACATGGAGAATGGGGCCCTGGGGTTGGGTGGGGTGGGGTTTTGGGTGGTGGGGGGGGTGTTGGGTTGGGTGGGGTGTTGGGTGGTGGGGGGGGTTTTGGGTGTGGGGTGTTGGGTGGGGGTGGTTTGGGTGGTGGGGGTTTGGGTACATGGAGAATGGGGCCCTGGATGCGTTCCTTAGGGTGAGCATGGGGGGACAGCACCCCAAGCATGATCCTCAGCGAGTACATGGAGAATGGGGCCCTGGGTGCGTTCCTTAGGGTGAGCATGGGGGGACAGCACCCCAAGCATGATCCTCAGCGAGTACATGGAGAATGGGGCCCTGGATGCGTTCCTTAGGGTGAGCATGGGGGGACAGCACCCCAAGCATGATCCTCAGCGAGTACATGGAGAATGGGGCCCTGGATGCGTTCCTTAGGGTGAGCATGGGGGGACAGCACCCCAAGCATGATCCTCAGCGAGTACATGGAGAATGGGGCCCTGGATGCGTTCCTTAGGGTGAGCATGGGGGGACAGCACCCCAAGCATGATCCTCAGCGAGTACATGGAGAATGGGGCCCTGGATGCGTTCCTTAGGGTGAGGGGGGATGGGGGTATGGGGGGTATGGGACATGGAATGTATGGGGTATGGGCTATGGTCTATGGGCTCTATGTGTCTCTATGTTCTCTATGTTCTCTATGTTCTCTATGGTCTCTATGGGTTTGTGTTTTGGTTTTGGTTCTATGTTCTCTATGTTCTCTATGGTCTCTATGGTCTCTATGGTCTCTATGTGTCTCTATGGGTCTCTATGTGTCTCTATGTGTCTCTATGTGTCTCTATGTTCTCTATGTTTTCTATGTTCTCTATGGTCTCTATGGTCTCTATGTGTCTCTATGTGTCTCTATGTGTCTCTATGTGTCTCTATGTGTCTCTATGTGTCTCTATGTGTCTCTATGTGTCTCTATGTGTCTCTATGGTGTATCCAGTCCCATGCATTCCCCATTGCACTGCTCCCGCAGGGCCGGCAGGGGGCGCTGGGCACGCTGCAGCTGCTGTGTCTCTATGGGGTCTCTATGTGTCTCTATGTGTCTCTATGTGTCTCTATGGGTCTCTATGTGTCTCTATGGTCTCTATGTGTCTCTATGGTCTCTATGTGTCTCTATGGTCTCTATGTGTCTCTATGTTCCTATGGTTCATGTGTCTCTATGTATCTCTATGTGTCTCTATGGTCTCTATGTGTCTCTATGTGTCTCTATGTATCCCTATGGTGTATCCAGTCCCATACATTCCCCATTGCATGTGTCCCGCAGGGCCGGCAGGGGGCGCTGGGCAGGCTGCAGCTGCTGTGTCTCTATGTGTCTCTATGTGTCTCTATGTGTCTCTATGTATCCCTATGGTGTATCCAGTCCCATGCATTCCCCATTGCACTGCTCCCGCAGGGCCGGCAGGGGGCGCTGGGCACGCTGCAGCTGCTGTGTCTCTATGGGGTCTCTATGTTCTCTATGGGTTTTGGTTTTGGTTGTTGTTGGTGGTGGGTTGTGTTTTGGTTTTGGTTTGGTTTTGTGTTTTGTGTCTCTATGTTCTCTATGGGTCTCTATGTATCCCTATGGTGTATCCAGTCCCATGCATTCCCCATTGCACTGCTCCCGCAGGGCCGGCAGGGGGCGCTGGGCACGCTGCAGCTGCTGTGTCTCTATGGGGTCTCTATGTATCCCTATGGTGTATCCAGTCCCTTCCTGTGCTCCCGAGGGCCGGCAGGGGGCGCTGGGCCGCTGATTGTGTCTCTATGGTTTGGTTTGTGTCTCTATGTTCTCTATGGGGTCTCTATGTATCCCTATGGTGTATCCAGTCCCATGCATTCCCCATTGCACTGCTCCCGCAGGGCCGGCAGGGGGCGCTGGGCACGCTGCAGCTGCTGTGTCTCTATGTATCCCTATGGTGTATTCAGTCCCATGCAATCCCCATTGCACTGCTCCCGCAGGGCCGGCAGGGGGCGCTGGGCACGCTGCAGCTGCTGGCCATGCTCCGCGGGGTGGCGGCCGGGATGCGGTACCTGGCGCTGTGCGGGTTCGTGCACCGGGACCTGGCCGCCCGCAATGTGCTGGTGGACGCGCAGCTCGTCTGCAAGGTCTCAGACTTCGGGCTCTCGCGGGCCCTGCGCCCCGAGGCCTGCGCGGACCCCACCTACACCAGCTCCATGGTGAGGGGACAGGGAGGGGGGGATGGGGGTATGGGGGGTATGGGTATCAATGGGTATCAATGGGTATCAATGGGTATCAATGGGTGTCTATGGGTATCAATGGGTGTCTATGGGTGTCAATGGGTGTCAATGGGTATCAATGGGTGTCAATGGGTATCAATGGGTATCAATGGGTATCAGTGGGTGTCAATGGGTGTCAATGGGTGTCAATGGGTGTCAATGGGTGACTCTCACCATGCCCCATTGGTTGCACCCGGAAGCTGCCGCACCTGAGGGGGGTGGGCACAAAGGACACACAGACCCAGTGACCCCCCCAATCAGCCCCATTGCCCCCATTGCCCCCATTGCCCCCATTAACCCCATTGCCCCATCACCCCCATTGACCCCCATTGCTCCATTGCCCCCATTGCCTCCGTAGGGAGGGAAGATCCCGATCCGATGGACGGCCCCGGAGGCCATCGCCTCCCGGAAGTTCACGTCCGCCAGCGACGCCTGGAGCTACGGCATCGTCATGTGGGAGGTGATGTCCTTCGGGGAGCGGCCCTACTGGGACATGTGCAACCAGGACGTGAGTCATCGCCTGGGGGGCCATGGGGGCTATGGGGTGTTGGGGGGCTATGGGGTGATGGGGGGCTATGGGGTGATGTGGCCCTATGGGGCGATGGGGACTATGGGGTGATGGGGGGCTATGGGGCAATGGGGGGCTATGGGGTGATGGGGGGCTATGGGGCGATGGGGGCTATGGGGTGATGGAGGGCTATGGGGTGATGGGGGGGTATGGGGGCCTATGTGGCAATGGGGGGTATTGAGGTAATGGGGGGCTATGGGGCAATGGGATCCTTATGTGTCAATGGGATTCCTATGGTCGATGGATCCCTATGGCTCAATGGGATCCCTATTACTCAATGGATCCCTATGGTCAATGAGATCCCATTGGTCAATGGGATCGCTATGGTGAATGGGACCCCTATGGCTCAATGGATCCCATTGGTCAATGGTTCCCTATGGCTCAATGGGACCCCTATAGTCAATGGAACCCATTGGCTCAATGGGACCCCCATGGCTCAATGGACCGCCATGGCTCAATGGACCCCTATGTTCAATGGACCCCATTGGCTGAATGGATCCCTATGTTCAATGGACCCCATTGGCTGAATGGACCCCATTGGTCAATGGACCCCATTGGCTGAATGGATCCCTATGGTCAATGGACCCCATTGGCTGACCTTACCCCCCCCGCTGCCGCAGGTGATCCGCGCCATCGAGCACGGGTACCGGTTACCGCGGCCGCCGCGCTGCCCCCCCCCCCTGCACCGCCTCATGCTCCAGTGCTGGCGCCGGGACCCCCGCGCCCGCCCCCGCTTCCCTGCGCTCCTCAGCGCCCTCGACCGCCTCATCCGGCACCCGCCGGCGCTGCACGGCCCACACCGGTACCGGGGCTAGGGGGGCTATGGGGCTCTATGGGGGCTATGGGGCTCTATGGGGTCTATGGGGCTCTATGGGGGCTATGGGGCTCTATGGGGCTCTATGGGCTCTATGGGCTCTATGGGGCTCTATGGGCTCTATGGGCTCTATGGGGCTCTATGGGGCTCTATGGGCTCTATGGGGCTCTATGGGGCTCTATGGGCTCTATGGGGTGAGCCCTCCCCATTGCCCCCTTCCCAGGCCGGATGTGGGCGGCCCCCCCATGGGCCCCCCCTTTGGGCTCCGGACGCTGCAGCTCAAGGAGGGCTCCGATGGCGCCGGCGGCACCGGAATGGAGCTGATGCCGCGGTGAGGGGGGTACGGGGGGGATGGGGGGGTATGGGGGGTATGGGGGGGTATTGGGGGTGTGGGGGGTATGGGGGGGTTGGGTATGGGGGTATGGGGGTGGGGGATGGGGGATGGGGTGGGGGTATGGGGGTGGGGTATGGGGGTTGGGGGGATGGGGGTATGGGTTGGGGGTATGGGGGATATGGGGGGATGGGGGGTATGGGGGATGTGGGGGTATGGGGGGAGTGGGGGTATGGGGGGTGTGGGGGGTATAGGGGGTTATGGGAGGTTATGGGGGGACCCCATCTCCATGTGACCCCCATCTCCCCCCAGGGACCTGCTGCAGATGGGGGTGCCCCTGGCAGGGGCCAGGAGCCTTCAGAGCCCCACCAAGGCAGACCCCAACTTCTGACCACCCCCCCCCCCTCCATAGCCCCACATAGAGTCTACAGAGGGGGGTGACTTCATGAGCATGTGGGCGGGGCCTGTGCCATGACGTCATCGGCGGGGACCTGATGGGGCGTGGCCAGGTCGGGGGGCGTGGCCAGGTCGGGGGGCGGGGCCCCCCCAGTGTCATCATCCTCATCCTCATCCTCATCCTCATCTCGATTTGGTTTTTATTTGCCTGTTTCCAGTGTCTTTTTTGGCCCCAAATCCGCGGTATGCAAATGAGGGGAGGGGCTAAGAGCAGGCCCCACCCCTTCAGCTCATGGGGGTCCCACTGTCCCCATGGCGTCCCCAAGGCCACCCTCAACTCAAGCATCCCCATAGCCCTCGTAGCTCCCATTGGCCCCATTGCCCCCATAGTCCCCAATGCCCCCATAGCCCCCATGGTCCCCAATGCCCCCATTGGCCCCATGGTCCCCACTGTCCCCATGGCCCCCATTGGCCCCATAGCTCCAGGTCTCGCCCTGCTCCCAAGCATCACTGTGGTCCCCAAGGCCCCCATCAACCCAAGCATCCCCATCGCCCCCATAGCCCCCATTGCCCCCAATGCCCCCATCACCCCCATCACCCCCATTGCCCCCATTGCCCCCATTGCCCCCATACCCCCCATCACCCCCATTGTCCCCCATGCCCCCATTGCCCCCCCGGTCCCAGGCATCCCCAGCCAAGGCCCCGGCCGTGCCCTGCAGGGTCCAGGCCAGCAGCTCCAGGCGCAGGCGGAGCCGGGCGCTGACCCCGCCCCCTCCCGGCCCTAGCCCCGCCCCCAGCGCCGCCCCCAGCGCCGGCAGCGTGTGCTCCCCCCGGCCCAGCAGCACGTGACGGAACGGGGCCACCAATGGGGACACGAAGGGGGACAGGAGGGAGGCCTCGGCCTGGGGGCAAGGGGGTCAATGGGGTCAGTGGGGTCAATGGGGTCAGTGGGGTCAATGGGGTCAATGGGGAATGGGGTCAATGGGGATGGGGTCAATGGGGTTGGGGTCAATGGGGATGGGGTCAATGGGGATGGGGTCAATGGGGATGGGGTCAATGGGGATGGGGTCAATGGGGATGGGGTCAATGGGGATGGGGTCAATGGGGATGGGGTCAATGGGGTGGGGTCAGTGGGGTGGGGTCAGTGGGGATGGGGATGGGGTCAATGGGGATGGGGATGGGGTCAATGGGATGGGGTCAATGGGTTGGGAATAGGGTCAATGGGATGGTGTCAGTGGGGATGGAGATGGGGTCAATGGGGATGGGGTCAATGGGGATGGGGTCAGTGGGAATGGGGTCAATGGGGTCAGTGGGGATGGGGCCGGGTTTGGGGTCAGTGGGGATGGGGCCGGGTTTGGGGTCAATGGGGCCGGGTTTGGGGTCCCTCACGGCCATGATGCGGGCGTTGAAGCCGCGGTTGAGGCGCTCGTTGGAGGCGTCGGCCCCGGCCATGTCCTGGCGCAGGCGCTCGGCGGCGCGGACGACGTCACCGCGGGCGGAGGAGAGGCACTGGAGGGACAGGCCCCGAGCCTGCGGTGCCGGGGGGGGGCCATGGACACCATTGAGCCCATGGACCATTGCACCCATTGAGCCCATTGAGCCCATGGACACCATTGAGCCCATTGAGCCCATTGAGCCCATTGACACCATTGAGCCCATGGACACCATTGAGCCCATTGCACCCATGGACACCATTGAGCCCCATTGTACCCATGGACACCATTGAGCCCACTGAGCCCATTGAGCGCATGGACACCATTGCACCCATTGACCCCACTGACCCTATTGAGCCCACTGACCCCATCACCCCCATTGCACAATTACCCCCATTGACCCCCATTACCCCCATTGCAACCCACAGCATCCATTGCCTCCATTCCCCCATCACCCCCATTGCCCCTCATCACCCCATTCCCCCACATTGCCCCCATTGCCCACACCACCCCATTTCCCCATTGTCCCCCATTACCCCCATTGCCCCATTCCCCCATCACCCACATTTTCCCCATTCCCCCCATAGCCCCCCATTGCCCCCATTCCATCACCCCCATTGAACCCCATTCCCCCCATCCCCCCGCTCCCCCCATTAGCCCCCATTGCCCCCATTCCCTCCATTATCCTCATTGCCCCCATTACCCCATTCCCCCCATTACCCCATTCCCCCCATTGCCCCCATTCCCCCCATTGCCCCCATTCCCCCCATTTCCCAATTGACCCCCATTCCCTCATTGCTCCCCATTACCCCCACTCCCCCATTGCCCCCATTCCCCCATTCCCCCCATTCCCCCCATCCCCCCCACCTGCAGCGGTGCCAGGCCCCTCAGGAGCGCGTCCCCGAGGGCTCCGGGGTCGAGCGGGAGCCGGGGGTCGTGGCCGAGGCGCAGCAGGAGCTGAGCGGCCACAGCGGCCACCGCGCGCGTCACCGGCGGCCACCGGCCCCGCAGCGCCCTCTGCAGGCGGCCCAGGGTATCCTCGGCCGTGCCCAGCCACCAGCGGCCGCCCGTGGATGGGGACTGAGGGGGTATGGGGGTTATGGGGATGGGATATAGGGGATGGGGATGGGGATGGGTATGGGGATGGGATATAGGGTATGGGTATGGGGATGGGTGTGGGTATGGGTATGGGGATGGGATATAGGGTATGGGGATGGGGATGGGTGTGGGTATGGGTAGGGGTAGGGGTATGGGATATAGGGTATGGGGATGGGTGTGGGGTATGGGTAGGGGTATGGGGATGGGATATAGGGTATGGGGTATGGGTATGGGTATGGATGGGTACGGTATAGGGTGTGGAGTATAGGGTATGGGCATATGTGATGTGCTCCTACAGGGTATGGGATGTGTTCCTATGGGATGTTTCTATGGGATGTGTTGCTATGGGATGTTCCTATGGGATGTGTCGCTATGGGCTATGGGCTGTGTCCCTATGGGCTATGGGATGTTTCTATGGGCTGTGTCCCTGTGGGGCTGTGTCCCTATGGATGTGTCCCTATGGGCTGTGTCCCTATGGATGTGTCCCTATGGGCTGTGTCCCTATGGATGTGTCCCTATGGGCTGTGTCCCTATGGATGTGTCCCTATGGATGTGTCCCTATGGGCTGCATCCCTATGGGCTCTGTCCCTATGGGGCTGTGTCCCTATGGGCTCTGTCCCTATGGGGCTGTGTCCCTATGGGGCTGTGTCCCTATGGATGTGTCCCTATGGATATGTCCCTATGGGCTATGGATGTGTTCCAATGGGGCTGTGTCCCCGCTCCCACCTCCTCAAAGCCGAGCTGCAGCGCAGGGACCCCGGCGGCCGCAGTGAAGGGGAAGGCTCCGCTCTCGGGGGGCAGCGGCCGGATCCTGCCCCCCCCCATAGAGACACGTGGGGACCCTGATGTTACTGAGCCCCCCTCCCCCCCTCCGCAGCACGGAGAGGGCGTGGTCTCCCCAGGCCCCGCCCCCTCACTCACACGTCACTCTCCCAGCCCCGCCCCGGCCGCGTCACCTGCTCCAGGAGGCTCCTCCCACCCTCGTTGGGGCTTTCCACCTGCAATGGGGGAGGGGGGGGTCAGAGGGGCCCCTCCCCCCCCTTGCCCCTCCCCCCTCACCCCTCCCCCACCTGGCTGAGCGCGCTCTCGATCAGGTTCACCAGGGTCGGGCTGGTTTTGGCCACCAAGCGGTCAGCACCTGGGGGGGTCAATGGGGGGCAATGGGGGTCAGTGGGGGTCAATGGGGGTCAATTGGGGGTCAATGGGGGCTCAATGTGGGTCAATAGGCGGTGAATGAGGGGTCAATGGGGGCCAAAGGGCAGGTCAATGGGAGATCAATGGGGGGTCAACGGCAGGTCAATGGGGTTCAATGGCGGATTAATGGGGGGTCAATGGGGTTCAATGGGGGGGTCAGTGGGGGGGTCCATTGGGTGTCACAGGGGGGGGTCTCACCCAGCACCGCCTTGTCCAGGCTGATGTAAGCAGCAGCTTTGGTGTGCAGGAGGTCGGGGTACCCCTGGGGGGGCACGGGGATTATAGGGGGGTCAATGGGGGGGGTCATAGGGGGGTCATGGGGGGGGGACTCACCTCGAGCCATTCGGTGGCCCCCAAGTGCCCGAATTCGCCCCCATCCCAACTGACGAAGAGCAGAGAGCGGCGGAGCCGGAACCCTGGGGGCACCCATGGGTTATGGGGGGGCACCCATTGAGGGTGAATGGGTCAGGGGGGGGCACCCGTGGGTGATGGGACCCCAGGGGGGAGCCAGCTCAGAGCATCCGGTGGCTTTTAAAGCACAGGGAGAGGGGGAATGGGGTTTAAGCCCCGCCCTTCCCCCAATCAGCCCCGCCCCTCCTTGGCCCCGCCCCTCACCTTCCCGCCCAATGGCAGCGAAGAACCGGGCCAGCTCCAGCAGCAGCGCGGTGCCCACCCCGGAAGCCGCCGCCCCGGGGCCCAGCGAATCGCGTTGCGCCGCGATGATGACGTAACAGTCTGGCGGGAGGGAGGGGTGATGGTGGTGGTGTCAGCGAAGCCACGCCCCCTCCCTCCACAAACCACGCCCCCTAATCTCTGCACCCGCCTCCTCCTGTAGCCGCGCCCCTTCCCCACCCCATTGGTCCCGCCCCGCTTCGCCACGCCCCCTCCCTTGGCCCCGCCCCTCACCCGGCTCCAGCCGCCCCTCCAGGGCCCCGAACACGCTCGTGAGGGTCCCGGGTTCGGTTCCCGCGGCCACGCTGAGCCGGAGGCGCCGCCCCCCCGGGCCCGGCCGGTACCGGAGCCCCCTTGAGGGCCCCCCCCAGCGCGCAGGGGCGCGGGGCCCCCCCAATACCCTGCAATGGGGGGGGGACGGACACGTGAGCACCCCCATAGGGGTCACAGGGACCCCCCTCGCAATGGGGGTGATGGGGGGGTGATGGGGGGGCACTCACCGGAGGAGCCGCGCGGCCGTGTTGGCGCTGATGGGGTGCGCGGGGATGGGGGGGACCCCCGGGGGGGGCCCGGGGGGGGCTCGGCCGGTGAAGGAGGGGAAGCCCCGGCTGTAGGGGTCCCCCGAGCCCTCCTGGAGCTGCGGGGTTGGGTCAGAACCGGGGTTACCCCCCCCCCACCCGCAGCACCCCAATAGTGCAGATCCCCCCCCCATAGACCCCCACTCACGTGCACGGTCACGGCCGTGTCCCCCCCCAGGCCGGGGTCCCCCCCCGGCCCGGCTGTGTCCTGGGGGTCCGGGTACAGGAGCACCCCCAGAGCCCCCGCCCCCGCCGCTGCGGCCACCTGAGGGGTAAGGATGGGGGGGGACCCATAGGGAGCTCTCCTATGGGCAACCCTATAAGGACCCCCATAGGTATATCCATAGACACCCCCTATTGGCAACCCATAGGTACCCTTTCCATTAGTACCCCCATAGGGACCCCCCCCATAGGCACCCCCATATATACCCCCCATAGGTACCCTGATAATCACCCATATAAGGACCCCCCATAGATACCCTGAGAGGCACCCCCATAGAGACCCCCGTGGCCACCCCATAGGGATCCCCCCATAGACACCCAGACAAGGCCCCCCCCAGGCACTCCCATAGGCACCCCCATAGCCCCCCCCCATAGGCATCCCATAGAGACCCCCATAGACCAACCCCCATAGGCACCCCCATAGAGACCCCCCAATAGAGACCTCCATAGGCACCCCACAGGCACCCCCATAGCCCCCCCCATTGCCCACCTTGGCAGCGGGGGGGCCGCGTCCGAGCCGCACCAGGAGCAGGTTCCCCCTGGGTGTCACCCCCTGGGCCCGCAGCAGCGCCAGGTCCTGGGGGCGGCCATAGTGAGCATAGACCAGCCCCCCCTGAGGGGTGAGAGGTCAGGGGTCAGCGGGGGGTCAGAGGTCAGGGTTAGGGTCGGGGGGGGGGTGTCAGGGGTCACCGTGGCGTTGCCGGGGGCGCTCCATGCACAAAAGGCCTCCGGGTCCAAGCGGAGCCGCTTGAGCTCCCGGCCCCCCCCGTCCACCCATTGCAGCGACGCTGACCCCCTGTGGGGTCACAGGTCAGGGGTCAGAGGTCAGGAACCCACGACCCTCCCTCCCCAAACCACTCCATGACACCTGTGACCTTTGACCTGCTGGGACCCCTTAAAACCCTTTGACCCCCTGTGACCTCTGTGACCCCAAGTCTTTCCCCCCCATGACCCCTTGATTTCTGTGACCCCGTGACCCCTCAGAGCCCCTCCCCCCTCTCCCCACCCCGTGACCCCTTGACCCTGAGCCCCCCATGACCCCCATGACCTCTGGAACTCCCCCAATAACCCTCCTTAACGCCTGTGACACAGCGTAACCCCCATGACCCTTGACCCGGCATGACCCCCCCCATGTCCCCTGTCCCCAGTACCGTGTGGGGAGGGGGAGGGGCTGGGGGTGGCTCCAGGCCCGGCTCAGCCCCGCCCCCTCCATGGCCTCCAGCACCGCCCCCGCCAGGCTCCGCCCCCGCTCTGACCCCGCCCCGTGTGGCTCCTTGCTGACCTCCCTGTGGGGTCACCAGGGTCACGCCGGGTTCAAAGGTCAAAAGGGGGGAAGTCACGTGGGGGGGTCACGTGGTCGGGGGGGGGCACGCACCGCACCCAGGCCTCGATGCGCTCCTCCAGCAGGTGGCGCTGCAGCAGCTCCCGCAGACGCGGCCACGGGGGCGGGGCCTCGGCGATGGCCACGCCCCCCGGGTCCTCCTCGGGGGCGGGGCCAGGAGGCGACGTCCCCGCCCAAGGCGCTCCCCTGCAGGGGGCGTGGCCAAGCGCGGCCACCAGAAGCCCTGCGGGAGGGGCGGAGCCTCAGGGGGCGGGGCCATATAGGGAGGAAATGGGGGAGCAGTGGGATACAATGGGGTGCAATGGGATAAGGGGATAATGGGTTTCAATGGGGTGCAATGGGTTTCTATGGGGTGCAATGGGGTGTAGTGTGGTGCAATGGGCTGCCATGGGGTGCAAGGGGTTGCAAGTGGGTGCCATGGGGTGCAATGGGTTGCAATGGATAGCAATGCGGTTCAGTGGGGTGCAAAGGGGTTCAATGGGGCATAATGGTCTGCAATGGGTTGCAGTGGGTGCAATGAGGTCCAATGGGTTGCAATGAGGTGCTATGGGCTGCAATGGGTTCAAATGGGGTGCAATAGGGTTCCAACGGGGTGCAATAGTGTTCCAATGGGGTGCAATGGGTTCCCATGGGGTGCAATAGGGTTCCAATGGGGTGCAATGGGGTTTAAGCTCTCCCTACCGGCCAGGAAGGCGGAGGCGGAGCCTAGCGCCAACGTCACGTGGGGGTGGAGCCTACCGCGGGGGCGTGGCCTGGGCAGCCTCACGATGGCGGCTCCTGCCCCCCCCTCCCCTTCCTCTTCCTCATCCTCATCCTGGTGGCGGGAATACAACACCGCCCCTCCCCCGAGGGGCTGCGATGACGTCATCGGTCACGTCATCACATGCGGGGGGGGGGGTTGGGGATCCAGAACCCCTGGGGGGGGGGGGGGCTCTTACCCGTTTATGGAAGCAGCGCCTCAGGGTCTCCATTGGTGTGGGGGGGGTCCTGGTGGGGGGGGGTCCTGTGGTTTGTGGGGGGGCCCTGTGGTTTGTGTCCCCCCCTCCTCCATGGCGTGAACTTTGCCCCCAGCCGCTCTTCCCCCCCCCTCCCGGTGCCCCCCCTCCCCATACCCCCCCCCCACCTTTACTCCCCCTTTGACCCCCCCCAAGCTCCCCCTGCCCCCCCTCCGAGCCCCCCCCTTTCCGCGCTCACCCCTCGGCCGCTCTGCTCCTGCTCTGCTCCCGCCCTCCCCAGAGGCGCGAAAAAGGGGCGTGGCCAGAGCGGGAAGGGGCGTGGCTTCGGTCGGGGGGATTGAACGGAGGAGGGGTGGCTTCGGTTGGGGGGGGGTTGAACGGAGGGGGCGTGGCTTCGCAGGGAAGCAGTGAATGGTTGCACCTGGAGGGGGGCGTGGCTTAGCGGGAGGCCCTGCCCTGGCGCCACCCGGTCTGGCTGCACCTTATCTGACCCCGGTCACTGACCACGTGGGGGGGGGGGGATTTGGGGGGTCCCAAGGCAATGGGAAGGGTTCCAAAGGCAATGGGGGGGTTCCCGAAGGCAATGGGGGATTCCAAAGACAATGGGGGGGTTCCTATGTGTGCTGGGGGGTTCCAAAGGCAATGGGGGCGATCCAAAGGCAATGGGGGGGGGTTCCAAGAGGCAATGGGGGATTCCAAAGGCAATGGGGGGTTCCTATGTGTGCTGGGGGGTTCCAAAGGCAATGTGGGGGTTCCTATGAGTGCTGGTGGGGTTCAGGTTGTTGTGAATGAGCTGAGAGCAGGAATGAGCTCAGATAAATACTCTCGTGTTTGCATTAAGTTACGGGGGTCTCACACACACGGGGGGGGGGTCGGACTCAGGCGTCGCTGCTATGGGGCCGCGTCTCCCCTGAGTGACAGCTCCCGGTGCCCATGGGGCAGCCATGGGGCACGGGGGGGGGGGAGGCTGTCAGTCACCTGCCGGCACGTCCAACGTGCCGGGGGGAGGCTCCGCAGGGAACAGCCTGCCATTGTCAATAGGTGATTGGCTGCGGCCTGGCATCTGCTGCTGGGTGATTGGCTGCTGTCAGGCATAGTGCTGATGGCTGATTGGCTGCTGTCTGCAGTGCTGATTGCTGATTGGCTGCTGTCGGTCACTGCCGACAGGCGTCCATGAGGAAGAGCCGGACCTTCCCATGGAGGAAGCTGCTGTGAACGGCCAAGAGCCGGGGCAGGCTCCGGACCTGCCACTGCCGGGGGGGGGCGCCTGAGGGGGACACCTGGGGGGTGGGAGAGGGCACAGAATGAGGTCAGGGACCCCCGGGGCCCCATCACCAGCCCCATAGCAGGACATGGACCCCCCATAGAACATAGACCCCCCCATAGCAGGACATGGAACCCCCCCCATAGCAGGACATGGACCCCCCATAGCAGGACATGGACCCCCCTATAGGACATGGAGCCCCCATAGAACATAGACCCCCCCATAGCAGGACATGGACCCCCCCATAGAACATGCACCCCCTATAGCAGGACATGGACCCCCCACAGCAGGACAAGGACCCCCCATAGGACAAGGACCCCCCCATAGGACAAGGCCCCCCCATAGCCCCCCCCACCTTTGCCGTCATGTCCCGCAGCAGCCGCGCCAGGCCCCTCGCGGCGCTGTTGGCGCGCTCCAGCAGGGGGCGCAGGCGCGGGTCCGCCACCAGCTCCCGCGCGCGCTGCACCGCGGCCGCGAGCGTGGCCACGCCCTCACGCACGTCCTGGGCGCGCGCCACGGCCTGCGGAGGGGGCGGGGTCACAACGGGGTTACGGGGATGGGGGGAACGCACCCCCATCACCCCCAGTTTATCCCATTGCTCCCCATTGTTTCCCGAGTTCCCCCCATTTTCCCATGCTTGCCCTGTTTCCCCCTATTTCCCCCCATTTTTCCATTTCCCGCCATTTTTCCCTGGTTCCCCATGCTTCCCCTATTTTCTCTCATGCTTCCCCATTTCCCACCAGTTTTCCCCATTTCCCACCGTTTTTTCTCGATTTCCCACCATTTTTCCCCATTTCCCGCTGTTTTTCCCCATTTCCCACCAATTCTCCCCCATTTCCCACCATTTATCCCACGTTCCCCATGCTTCCCCTAGTTTCTCTCATGCTTCCCTATTTCCCCCACTTTTTCCCCTATATCCTGCATTCTCCCCGATTTCCTGCCATTTTCCCACCATTTTTCCCTATCGATCCCATGTTTTCCCCATTTCCCCCATTGTTTCCCTTTTTTCCCCATGCTTTCCCTATTTCCCTCCATGCTTCCCTATTTCCTCCCATGCTTTTCCCGTTATCCCTATTTTCCCCATTTTTCCCCTATTACATCCATGTTTTCTTTCTTTCCCTTCATTTTCCCCACAGTGTTCCCTATTTTCCCCATGCTGCTCCTTATTTCCTCCATTTTTCTGCACTTCCCCCCGTTTGCCTCCATTTCCCGCTATTTTTCCTTATTACCCTTTTTCCATATTTCCCATTTCCCACTATTTTTCCTCATTTCCTGCTATTTTTCCCCATGTCCCCCTTATTTTCCCCATTTTCCCTACTTCCCCACATTTTCCCCCATTTCCCACTGTTTCCTCCCATTTCCCGCATTTTACACTATTTTTCCCCATTTCCCCCAATTTTTCCTCATTTTCCACTATTTTTCCCCAATTTTTCCCCATTTTCCACTATTTTCCCCATTTCCCCCAATTTTTCCTCATTTTCCACTATTTTTCCCCAATTTTTCCCCATTTCCCCCAATTTTTCCCCATTTCCCCCAATTTTTCCCCATTTTCCACTATTTTCCCCATTCCCCCCCATTCCCATCACCTCCAGCCTTGGCCATTCATTGAAGTTCACCCCTGGGTACGGCACCGGCACCGCCTCGGGCAGCTCGCAGGGGGGGCCGCAGCCAGCCTGGAGAGGGGGGAGGGGCTCAGGGATGCTGCCACCCCTGCACCCCCAAACCCCCCCCATTGTCCCCTCCCCCCCTCACCATCGCCCTCTCTGCATCTCGCGCCTCCAGGATGAACCATTCCAACACGCGGGGGTCGCAGAGCGGGGGGGGGCCCTCGGGGCGCCCAGGGACCCCCAAGAGCAGCAGCAGCAGCAGCGAGCAGAGCCCTGGGGGGGGGACACCCCCAAACACCCTCATTGAACCCCATTGGTGTCAATGAACCCAGCCCTTGGGGTCCCCACACACGTGGGTGCCCCCCCCCCACTTGTAACACCTTAGGACCCCCCCCACATACACTTGGAACCTCCCAAACCCCCATTGCAATGAATGAACCCAGCTCCCCACACACGTGGGTGCCCCCCAGAATAAACCCCCCCCCATTGCTATGAATGAACCTAAGGGCTTGGGTGCCCCTCCCCCAATACTCCCATTGCAATGAATGAACCCTGGGTGCCCCCACCCCAATACCCCCATTGCAATGAATGTGTACCCCCCCCAATACCCCCATTGCAATGAATGGGTACCCCCCCCAATAGCCCCATTGCAATGAATGAACCCTGGCTCCCCCCCATTACAATGAATGTGTACCCCCCCAATACCCCAATTGCAATGAATGGGTACCCCCTCCCAATAGCCCCATTGCAATGAATGACCCCCGGCTCCTCCCCATTACAATGAATGGGTGCCCCCCCCCAATACCCCCATTGCAATGAATGACCCCCGGCTCCCCCCCATTGCAATGAATGACCCCCGGCTCCCCCCCATTACACTGAACGGGTGCCCCCTCCCAATACCCCCATTGCAATGAATGAACCCTGGGTACCCCCCCCCCAATTCACCCTGGGCTCCCCCCCATGGCAATGAAGGGGTGCCCCCCCCCGCACTCACCCGCGGCCCCCATGGCTGCTGCTCATGGCACGGGGGGGTCCCTCGGTGGCCCCGGCAGCGGCGGCCGCGTCCCCCGGCCCCGGCCCCGGTTAATGTTTGATCCGAGGGGCCGCGGGGCCGGAAGCGCCCTTTGGGGGGGGGGGGTGGGGGGGGGTTTCCCGTCCGGGTCCCGTCCCCCCCCCCCAGGGCCGGGCCAGCGAGGAAAAGGCCGCGCTGGCCCCAGCACGTCTGCACTGGCCACGGGCCCGGCGCCGCGGTGGCGGCAATGGGGGGGGCACCGGGTGGGAATGGGGACGGCGAGGGATGGGGATGGGGATGGGTGGGGATGGGGACGGGATGGGGATAGGGATAGGGGGGCATGGGAATGGGGGCAGTGAATGGGGATGGGGATAGGGATGGGAATGGGGGAGCAAGGGATAGGGATAGGGATGGGGGGGGCATGGGAATGGGATTGTGGGGAGTCAATGGGGATGGGAATGGGGGCAGCAAGGGATAGGGATAGGGATGGGGGGGGCATGGGAATGGGGGGAGTGAATGGGGATGGGGATAGGGATGGGAATGGGGGCAGCAAGGGATAGGGATAGAGATGGGGGGGGCATGGGAATGGGATTGTGGGGAGTCAATGGGGATGGGAATGGGGACAGCAAGTGATAGGGATAGGGAGATGGGGGGGGCATGGGAATGGGGAGAGTGAATGGGGATGGGGAGATGTGGATTAAGATGGGAATGGGGACAGGGATGGGAATAAAGAGGGGCACCAGGATGGGGATGAGGACACAGGTGATGGGGATACAAGGATGGGGTTAACATGGGAATGGGGACCCGAGGATGGGGTTAACATGGGAATGGGGCCAGGAGGATGGGGTTAACATGGGAATGGGGCCAGGAGGATGGGGTTAACATGGGAATGGGGACAGGAGGATGGGGTTAACATGGGAATGGGGCCAGGAGGATGGGGTTAACATGGGAATGGGGACCCGAGGATGGGGTTAACATGGGAATGGGGACAGGAGGATGGGGTTAACATGGGAATGGGGCCAGGAGGATGGGGTTAACATGGGAATGGGGCCAGGAGGATGGGGTTAACATGGGAATGGGGACAGGAGGATGGGGTTAACATGGGAATGGGGACCCGAGGATGGGGTTAACATGGGAATGGGCACACGGATGAGGACAGGGAATGAAGGGGGACACCGGACAGGGATAAGGCCATAGCCCAGGATGGGGCCATTGGGATGGCCCAAGAATGCCCAGGGCACAGGCATGGGATGGGGATGCCCCGGGGACACCCCCGCTGGTACCGGGGTGATGCAGGGACAGGCACAGGGAAGGGGGGGGCACGGAAGGTACCAAACAATGGGGCCAACGTCACCGGGTCCCGGTGCTGATGGGGGGGGGCACCGGGGACCCCCGGCCATGGCCTTTGGAGGGGGTGCAGGGGGGGGGCCCGGAGCTGGGCCCCTGCCAGGCCCCTACGTGCGGAGCCACACGGCCCGGCCACGGCTCCGGCCCCGCGGCGCCAGCGGGGACAAAGGGCGCCGGGGGGGGGGAGCGGGGACACGGGGACAGTGGCGGGGTCAGGACCCCCCCCCCCACAAGAGGGGGGCAGTGGTGGAGTCCGTGTCCCGTCCCCCCCTCCCCCCCCCGGGTCCATGGGGGGTTTCCTGCCCCAAAGGTCACCAATGACGCGGAGGAAACCCGGGGTCCCCCCCACTGCCCCAAACAAGCTCCGCCCCCTCGCATAGGCTCCGCCCCCAACGTGTTACCGCTGCTACCACCACGTTTATTGGGGGGGATCCTTGTGTTTGCGTGTGTGTCCCCCCCAAAACAAGTCCAGTGTGGTGGGGGGGGCTTGGTGGCCACGGTGACGGCCTCGGGTCCTGGTGGGTTTCGGTGTCCCCCATGTCCTCAGTGCCCCCCCATGGCTCCGGAGCCTCCCGGTGTGGGTGCCCCACAGCACCCATGGGTGCCGCTCAGGCACAGGGCGCTTCCCTGCACACCCGGATGTGAATGGCCGAGTTATGGCGGGGGGCTCCCCCCTCCTCTTCCTCCTCCTCCTCCTCCTCCTCCTCGTGGCTGTGGGGGGGCCCTCGGCGGCGCCCGGAGGGGGGGGGCAGGGTGACGGAGGAGGTGCTGGCGTGGAGCCGGAGGGCGCCGGGGGCCGCCGCCTGCAGCTGCAGGGCCAGGTTGATGGCGCGGGGCACGGCCAGGCCCAGCCCGTGCAGGCGGAGCTCGGAGGGGGGGGCCGCGCTGCTGCTTCCGCCTCCCCCCGTCCCGGTCCCCGTGACCGGCGCCAGGAGGCGCTGGCAGCGCCGCAGCTGGGCCCGGAAGTCGGTTCTGGCCGTCACGAACACGTCCGTGGGGGGGGCGGAGGAGGAGGAGGGGGGGGGGATGAAGGGGGGGCGCGGGGCCAGGCCCCGGCGGCGGCGGCAGCGGGAAGAGGGGGGGGGCGCGGCACCCCCCCGCGGGGCCGGGGAGCCCCCCCCCGGAGCTGCTGTGGGTCCTGAGGACATTCTATGGGGGGACATGGGGGGGGGGTCAGGGGCACATCCAGGCACCCCCAGACCCACATAAGCTGCCCCAGAGCCCCACACAGCCCCTGGGTGCCCCATTGGCACTATCCAGAGCCCTCCTCGAGCACCACAGACACCCCACAACCCCTGTCCTAACCCCCATAGACCCCCCGCAGCCCCATGGACACCCCATAACCCCCATCCCAAGCCCCATAGACCCCCCGCAGCCCCATGGACACCCCATAACCCCCATCCCAAGCCCCATAGACCCACCCCCAGCCCCATGGACACCCCATAACCCCCATCCCAAGCCCCACAGACCTGCCAAGACGCTCCATAGACCCCTTTAGAGTCCCCCCCAGCCCTACAGACACCCCATAACCCCCATCCCGAGCTCCACAGCCCCATAGCCCCCCCCCAGACCCCTTTACACCCCCTCCAGTCCCATAGGCACCCGTAGATCCCCCCCAGGCCCCTACAGACACCCCATAACCCCCGTCCTGAGCTCCACAGGCCCCCCCATAGACCCCTTTACACCCCCTCCAGTCCCATAGGCACCCGTAGACCCCTCCCAGGCCCCTATAGACCCCCGTAACCCCTGTCCCAAGCCCCATAGATCGCCCCGGAGCCCTATAGGGCCCCACAGGCCCCACTTTGCTCCACCCCCCCACGCCCGCACCTCGCCGAGTCCCCGCCGCCGCCACCGGTTCACTTCCGCTTCCGGTAGCTTGCACCCGCCCTCTCCCTCAGGACGGCTTCGCCCATTGGCGGCGCCGCACGCCACGTGACAGCGGGAGCCGCCATCATGGAACCTGACAAATACACCCCCCCCGTTGCCATGGTGACGACGGAACAGCCAACCCCCCCCTTTTCTATCGGGACGTTTCTATGGAAACCGGAGGTGTCCCGTCCCCCTTTTCCTGTTTCCATGGCGACCAGGACAGCCCCTCCCTCTTTAAACCCGTTGCCATAGAGACCCTAGCACCCCCCCTCCCCCTTTATTCACAACAAAAACGGCGCCTGCCCCTTTAAGCATTGTCTGCGGCGGCGACCAATCAGCGCGCGCGGCGCACGGCGGGCGCCCATTGGCTGCGCTGCCTTGGCCCCGCCCACCGCGGCCGGCGGGCGCTGTCCAGTGCTGAACGCGCGGCCGCCGCCATGAGCGGGGGGGTCTACGGCGGCGGTAGGGGGCGACACGGCGCGGGAGGGGGCGTGGCCTCGGGGAGGGGGGCGTGGCCTCGGGGAGGGGGCGTGGCCGGCGGGGTCATTGTGTTACCGGGTGGGGGGGGGGGATAACGGGGGGTCCCGGTGTCACCGTGTGTGTCCCCCCCCATCCCAGATGAGGTCGGGGCCTTGGTGTTCGACATCGGCTCCTTCTCGGTGCGTGCTGGGTACGCTGGGGAGGACTGCCCCAAGGTGGGTGGCATCACGTGGCATTGTATGGTGTCACGTGTCATTGTATGGTGTCACGTGTCATTGTGTGGTGTCACGTGTCATTGCATGTCATTGTATGCCATCACGTCCTGTCATTGCACGTCATCACATCATCGCATGTCATCACATGTCATTGCATGCCATCACATGTCACCGTATGCCATCACATGTCACCGTATGCCATCACATGTCATCACACCATTGCATGCCCCCCCCCCCCCACAACATCCCCAGTGTCTCCATGGTGCTGGCATCTCCATCGTGTCCCCAAGGCCACCACCCATAGGACAATGTCCCCACCATGGTGCCATCCCCACGGCCATGCTGTCCCCAAGGCCACCACCCATAGGACAATGTCCCCACCATGGTGCCATCCCCACGGCCATGCTGTCCCCAAGGCCACCACCCTCATACCTACACCCCACATCCATGGGGCGCCTACAGGCGGACTTCCCCACCACCGTGGGGCTGCTGTCCCCTGAGGACGTGGCCCTGGAGCTGGATGGGGACAAGGACAAGAAGGGGGGCAAGGTCTATTACATCGACACCAACGCGCTGCACGTGGCCCGGGAGGGCATGGAGGTCCTCTCGCCCCTCAAGAACGGCATGAGTGAGTGGGGACCCCTTGGGGACCCCCCCAGGGCCATGGGGAACCCGGAGGAGGCATCACAGGGGGGTGGGGGGCACCCCATTGGGCAACCATGGGGATGGAGTCACCCAATGGAAGCCACCATGGGGTTGGGGTCACCCAATGGAAGCACCCATGGGGTTGGGGTCACCCAATGGAAGCCCCCACAGGGTTGGGGTCACCCAATGGAAGCCCCCATGGTGTTGGGGTCACCCAATGGAAGCCCCCATGGGGTTGGGCTCACCCAATGGAAGCCACCATGGGGTTGGGGTCACCCAATGGAAGCCCCCATGGGGTTGGGGTCACCCAATGGAAGCCCCCATGGGGTTTGAGGTCACCCAATGGAAGCCCCAATGGGGTTGGGGTCACCCAGTGGAAGCCCCCATGGGGTTGGAGGTCACCCAATGGAAGCCCCAATGGGGTTGGGCTCACCCAATGGAAGCCCCCATGGGGTTGGGGTCACCCAATGGAAGGTACCATGGGGTTGGGCTCACCC